GTTTGATCCCCAGTACTAAAAAAAAAAAAAAAAAGAAAGTGAAACAGAAATAAAGCAGTTGCAAGTGTTTCCAGTTACACAGAGGCTTTGTCTGTGTATTTACAGTTGAGCTTCCTGAACATCAAGTACCAGCAGTGGCTGGGATGTGAGGTTTCCCAGGCTTCCAGAAGCCTTATCTGTGCCAGTTGCCATGAAAGAGAGTGGCTGCTGTCTGGAATCTGATGGAAACAAAATAACTCTCAGCCCCCAAGATGCTGACACTTCAGCTAGAATGGAGAAAGGATGTGGGCTTTACATTTCCCTGGAAAAAGTTTCTTTGCAGAGGAAACCTGTGGGAAGAAGCCAAGTTATCCAGGGGAGGTTGTGGCTCTGTTTGTAGGAAATAATTAAAGTCTGGGCATGGATACAAGTGAGGCATAAGGCATAAAGAGTAAATTTCCCAGAATTTTCCTTTCCCTACCTCCAGTTCCTGGATGATGACTTCCTTATTTGCTACCTCTTCTCCTCTAGAAGGCAAACAGAAAAAAGACAAGATAAAGAAAGCTAGAGGGGCAACTCACTTTCTGGGCCCCCTTCTGTCTTTTAGACAGAAGCTATCTTTTTCTTTCAATGCCCATTCTTTTTTCTTTTCTTCCCTCTGGTACGGGAATCGAATTTAGGACCTTGCCCTTGCCAGGCAGGCAAGGTGCCACTGAGCTAAATCCCCAGCCCTTTTCTCAATAAATTCTTCCAAATCTTAAAAAAAAAAAAAAAAGAAGGAAAGCTAGAACCATCACATATATAACAATTGTATGTGCTGACCCAGTGCTCATAGGGGAGAAATAAGATTACCTGAGTGGTGTGGCCTGAGCCTCAGTAGTACAAAGTTGTTTGAAAATGTCTCTTACATTGGCCAGGCTTGGTGGCACACGCCTATAATCCCAGCACTCAGGAGGCTGAGTCAGGAGGATCTCTGCTAGTTTGAGGCTAGCCTGAGGCCAGTCTGAACTATACAGTAAAACCCTGTCTCAAAAAAAAGAAAAGTCTTGTACATTAACCTAAAAAATCCTGAAATCTCCACTATGAAAATTCCTTAGACCACTCACACTCAAGGTGTGATGTGGGATCTCTGGGAGTCCTAAAGACCCTTTCAAGGAGTCTTCAAGGGCAAAGCTATTTTTGTAGTACTTCTAAGATATTATTTGCCTTTACAATTTTTAATTTATAACTTTTAATGCAAAAGCAATGGCGGGCAAAATTGCTAGTGCCTAAGCACAGATCTAGCCAGTCCCACTAAGCTGTACTTGCAGTCACAGTAATCATTAGTGCCACACAGGAAGAGAAACTACTTTCATGTACTATCCTTTTTTTTTGGTACGGGGATCGAACTTGGGTCCTTGTGCTTTCGCAGCAGGCGTGCAAAACCACTGAGCTAAATCCCCAGCCCTCATGTACTATCCTTGAGGAAGCAATGAAGTAAATTATATAAAATGGGTGTGGTGCTGTATGCCTGTAATTCCAGCTGAGGCAGGAGAATTGCCTGGGCTACACAGTGAGAGACCCTGTATCAAAACAAAACAAAATTATATAAAACCCCAACTTGCCAGGTGTAGACCCTGAGGCAGGAGGGTCACAAGTTATATAATGGGATTTAGGGATATATAATGAGATCCTGCCCACCTCAAACTGTATGTTGTGGCACATAGCTGTAATCCCAACACTTGTGAGATTAAGTAGGAGTGCAAATTTGAGCGCAGCCTAGGCAATTTAGTAATTTAGCCAACGCTGTCTTAAAACAAAAAATAAAAAAGGGCTGAGGATGTATTGCAATGTGAAGAAGGCTCCCGTTCAATCCCTAACACTAAAACAACAATGTATGAGAGAGAAAGAGGAAGGAAAGAAAGGAAAAGAAAACTGTACTCCTTAAACAATAAGTCTATGGGAGCATCACAAATTCAACCTCAGTCTGGAGAAGGGCTGGGGATGTAGTTCATTGCAAAGGTCCTGGGTTCAATCCCCAGTCCTGTAAAACAAACCCAATAAACTAAATCTCAACTCTTTCTGTTTGTTTGTTTTTGTAGTGCTAGGGATGAACCTCAGAGCCCCATGCATGCTAGGTAAGCACTCTATTACTGAGTTATGTCCCGAGCCATAAAACTCAACTCTTGGCTACCCATAGTTTTATTTATTTTGGGTGGCTTTGTTTTTTTTTTAAACAGGGTATCATTACGTAGTTCAGTCTGGCCTTGAGCTCACTAGGTAGTCTGTCACCCACATGCTAGGATCACAGGCATGTGCCACCACACCCTGTGCTTTTATTTGTTTTTTGAGGTAGCATCTCACTATGTAGCCCAGGCTGGCCTTGAACTCAAGGCAATCCTCCTGCCTCAGCCTCCTGAGTGCTGGGATTACAGGTTTACACTACCATGACTGGCTCGTGTTTTTTTTAAAGCAAAAACATTCAAGCTCCTTCTTTTTAGCTTTTTGAAATATACAATACATAACTGTATCTTTTAAAATATGTTATGTGATAAACGGGAAGTACTTCTGCCAACCAAAATATGGTGCTGTGGTTGTGTTGAGGAGAAGCACTGTGTGTGACTGTTTAAATTGCAAAGTGAACAAGCTGCTTTTTTCATAGGATATTTTACTTGAAAGATTGGCTGACAAATAAACCATAGCTGTTATTCAGACTAGGGAGCTGACAGATATTTTCTCAAAAATGAATAAATTGAACACATAAAGTCAAGGAAAACAACAGACAGAATTTGGTGTAAGATGAATTTTGAGCTTTCAAGAAAAAATTTGAAGTTTGAAAAGCTTAATAAGTTTGACAGCTTTCAAATACTTAAATTTTCAAATATTTTTGGCAGCACTGGGGATTGAACCCAAGGCCTTGTGCATACTAGGTAAGCACTCTATCTCTGGGCTATCTTCCCACTTCCTTCTCTTTTTTTTTTGAGGCAAGGTCTTTCTATGTCCATGCTGGCCTCAAACCATATGGCCTCAAACTCACTCTGTAGCCCAGGCTGGCCTCCAACTCACCCACTGGAGTGCTGGGATTATAGGCTACCACACCTGTCCTATTTTATCTTTTTTTTTTTTTGTACCAGGGATCAAACTCAGGACCTTGCGCTTGAGAGGCAGGTGTGGTGCCACTGAGCTACATCCCCAGCCCTGGCCTATTTTATTTTTGAGATAGGGTCTGGCTAAATTGTCCCAGTTGGCTTCCAACTTTCCATCTTCCTGCCTGTCCTGAGAAGTTAGGATCAGAGGTGTGCACAACCACACCCAATTCTTAAATACTTTTCTAAGATTGATAGTAATATTAAATATTTTTGGTATTATATAATGAAATGTCTCAACATTTGGAAAATTTGGCTGGGGATTTAGCTCAGTGGTTCTGCTGCCTGCCTTTCAAGCACAAGATCCCGAGTTCGATCTCTGGTACCAAAAAAATAATAATAATAATAATAACATTTGGAAAATTTGCATAAGTCAGTCAATCACGTTTTCCAAATGACCTATGGAATGCATCATGTTACAAAATCAGACTAAGTGCCTGGGATTTAGCTTGGTGGCACCATGCCTACCTCACAATCGCCACACCTGCCTTATAAGTGCAAGGGGCTGAATTCAATTCCTGGTACTGAAAAAAACCAAACAAACAGACTAAGTAAAATATTCATTCAGAAAACAAGACAAACTACTGAATTTTAATGTAACAGAGTTCAAAAAGTTCACTTTACAATTTCAGGTCCCATATTGCAGCTAACCTTTAAAAAACAACTGGTTTAAAGAACCAAAACTACCACTTGTTCAAGCTTTTGTTTTTGTTTTGTTTTGTGGTTCCCAATATTAAACTCAGGCCCTTGTACAAGCCAAGCAAATGCCCTACCACTGAGCTATATCCCTGGCCCAATAAGATGTTGATATAGGAACAAAGAAGAATATCTGATGATCTGAGAGGGTTACTAATCTATTCCTACTTTTCTCAACTCAAAATCTATGTAAGCTAGACTTTTAAATGTTATATTATTATATATTACTTTTGTTTTGTTTTTTGAGACAGAATCTTGCTATGTAGTTTATGTTGGTTTTGAACACACTATGTAGCCCAGGCTGGCCTTGAACTCATGGTGATCCTCCTAACTCCGCCTCCTGAGTGCTAGGATTACAGATGTGCACCACCACACCCAGTTCCTGGACATTTTAAAGATCAAACAAACAAAAAAAATCATGATAGATTGAATGCAGAAGCAGAGATGATAATCTAACAGTCTCCTATAAAGAGAGACATGAATAAAATTTGCAGAAAAGTGATGCCAATCTTTGTTTGGAATGGAACATATATTTAAAAATTTTAAATGTTAACATTTAAGTATAATGAATGTTGGGAAATGGGAAGAAAGTGTTCAAATGTGAAGGGGAACAAGGGAGGAGGGAGGGAGAAAGGAAGGGACAAGAAAAAAAGTAAAAATAGAAGAAAAAATGGAAACAAAGCTTTTGTACATAGGGGCTAGGGGGCTTAAGGGGGGAATGGGATAAAATAAAATAAAATTTAATAAAAATATAAATGTTAACATTTAATTGCTAAATGTTTAATTTAAAAAGCTAACAATACTTATGGATGCATTATTAAACTAACATATTTTAAAATGGTAGTAAAAGTAGATAACATTTTCATTTCAACCTTATTTATTTATTTATTTATGGGCAGCTCTCACTGTGTTGCCCAGGCTGGTCTTGAACTCTCACTGTGTTGCTCAGTCTGGTCAGGCAATCCTCATGCCTCAGCCTCCAGAGTACCTAAGATCACAGGCACCACAGTGCCCCGCTCTCATTTTAGTCATTTTTAAGTGTACAATTCAGTGGTATTCCTTTCAGAATGTGGTGTAACCATTACCATTATCTCTTTCCAAAAAAATTTTCATCACTGGGACGGGAATTTAGCTCAGTGGTTCTGCTGCCTGCCTCGAAAGTGCAAGGTCCTGAGTTTGAGCTCCGGTGGCCCACCCCCCCCCAATTTTTATCACCCTCAATCAAAAAGTGTACTCCAGCTGGGTGTGGTGGGCACATGCCTGTGATCCCAGCACTCTGGGAGGCTGAGGCAAGAGGATCACAAGTTCCTGTCCAACCTGGGCAATTTAATGACTTAGAAAGACCCTATTTTAAAATTAAAAATTAAAAAATACTGGAGATTGAGCTCAGTATAAAGGTTCATGTTCAATCCTCTAGTAGTAAACAAAGAAAAAAACACAAAACTGTAGCTCTTTTTTTTTTTTTTTTTTTTTGGTACTGGGGATCGAACTCAGGTCTTTCTGCTTGCAGGGCAGGCGGCAGAATCACTGAGCTAAATCCTCAGCCCACAACTGTAGTTCTTAAGCAATAAATCTCCATTATCCTCTGCTCCTAGCCCCTGTCCTCTAATCTGTCTTGTCTCTATTAAACTTCTATATGTCTCATGTAAATCGAATCATACAATTTTTGTCCTTTTGTTACTTTTTTCATTTAGCATAACGCTTTC